TAATACTTTGTGGTTTGCCAGACAATTTTTTATTCTGCTTCATCGCCACGTACCTGAGTGGATTCCTGCTCGTATCTGCAGCTGGGTGTTGCGCTTGTGTGGAATCCTGAATGTCTTACACACTGCCACAAGGTCCAGGGCCATACTGGCTATTTCTCCAGCATGCAGAATTCCATTCTCCTTGGGTACCCCTGACACGACCATGTCTTAAAAACAAAAAACACAATGATCAGCCCAGTCACTATAAAAAGGGTTTTTGCTATGGGATATTAACTCATTTAACCCACTGTTGTGGTTTGGTGATAGATTCCTTTTCTGCCATGTAGGAGACCTGGCTTTGATGCCTCAATGTACATATAACTATAGCCATTGAGGCACAGAACATCCAGACTTGGTCTGACCTTTGGATTCTGTCTCAATGGTCTAAAGTTGGGGAGGGAAGGTCTGGGCAGCCTCCACTCCTCCATACTCTTGCCTAGGTCCTGGTGACTTCTCACGTATGAACCATGGTTGAGAAGGATTGATGGTTGCCTATCAATTCATCTAGAAAAATCATCTTTCAAACTGAAGTGTAGAACTGTGAGTGTAGGGTAGTGGTCACCTACCAGTGGATCTTGATCCACCAGTAGATCTCTGAGCCTCTTGGAGTCAATCCAAGGCTGGGGTGGGGGGATGAGTGCCCATGTGCATGCACATGTGCACCCCAGCCCAGCGGGTCAGTCTGTGGGGGTTAGACTGAGGCTCCCGCGGTAAGAGACAGTGCCACAGAGGCAGGAGCAGGGCTAAGTTGAGTGGGGCCCTGGCTGGATGGGACTTACCTGCTGGGGAGGCACAGCCCCAAATAATTTTTTCTCCCTCTGCCTCAATCTGCACCCCCCTTCCCTCCCCACAGACTTACCTGCTGGGTGGGGGGGAGGGTGTGGCGATGGCAGTGCATGGTAGATCTGGATCTTAGGCTGTTTTTAAATGCCAAAGGTAATCTCCTACTTAAAAAGGTTGGAGACAAAGGCAGATTGGAGATAAAATTTGGAGACAAATCTCCTACTTAAAAAGGTGTAGGGCAAAGGCAGCAAGAAACAAGGTCTAGGCATAAACACAGCACCATATCCTGAGTATTTAATTGTTCCAGCTGTGCAAAACTAGACTTTCCCCTTACACAGCCAGGAGGGCATGCACTCCCTTGTCAAGGTCCTTGAGGTTGGGGGCAGCTGATAGGTGTACCCAACTTTAAGACGACATCATTAGGAAATAGCAATGAAGTCATCAGGAGCCCTCTCCCATTTCTTCTGAGGTTGGTTCCTGCTTTGCAGAGGGAGAAGTACTGTAGGATTAGCACTGTGCCTACAGAATCCATGCGAGTACTCTGCAAACCAAATGCTAGGTATGGTGTCCATATTCCCTAACACACAGTTGCTCAGGAAACCTGTGGGTGCATCTACATGTGCGATTAATGCGCACAAATAAACTCCAGAACATATTGAACATGCAACTGGGAGAAAAAAAATAAAACTCTGGACCATATTGGGTCCCCTACCAGCCCTGGCTTATCTGACCAGGCTCCACATGCTGCCGAATGGCTGGCTGAGGCACGGGATCTAGCCCCTCACTGAAGCGCCCTGTTCCCCAGCTGGGGCAACATCTATACAGGCAGAGTTGTGCATGAAAAACTCCAGAGCAGGGTAGTACTTGTATTTTACAAATACTACCCTGCTGTGGAGTTTATTAGTTCCGTGCACCCTAATAAGGGCACACATGTAGACGCTGAGCTGTTTATTGCACAGTTAATTAGTCAGCTGCACAGTAAACATCTCATGTAAACATGCCCAGTTTGTTAGATTTATGGGTGTGTGTAATCCTGCTGCTTGGTTTAGCAGCAAGAGGAGTATTTCTTTATTCCTGTTACTAAGAGTTAGAGTCTGTCCCCAAAAGATACCATTGATTTGGGAAGAAGTAGCATTTAATTAGTTGCCAACACCTACAAAGTTACAATATGGGAGAAAAGTCATGGGGTCAGGGTTCCAAAGAACCAGGAGAAGAGATGCCAAGACTCATAGAGACTGGGAAGGGGCATGTGTGTACTGAGCCCTGCTCAAGAAGACAACAATGGTACGGTTTAGGAATGGGGACCTTGAGACCTGAACAGAAGCTTCATCCTTGGCAGAGTGTGTGAGCTGATTGCTTGGGCTGATTTTGGAGTCATATATTCCTATAAAATGCAAGTCAACAGCTGAAACTAGTCAGTTTCCAGCATCTCAGCGGAGACTCTGCAGGTCACACCAGGTGCTGGTCAGTTCCACCCACTCCTCTATTCTGCAGCTTTCTTTAGCCTCATGAAATACTATGGCCATGCATGAAAAAATACTGACAGCGCATTTTCTAGTGCTGTGTTTAGACTTCTCGCTTCTTGTAATTTTATTCCTCTGGTCTGTACAGTGATAATTAGCTTTTCACCTCTCTTCAATTGGCATGTTCTTTTGAGAATTTGACTTCTCCTAATTACCTCACAAAATCCCATCCTACTGTTGGTACAGAGAACTCACATGCATCTCCTATAGTTTCCACTTTGTAGACATCATAATTGTCTATAATTTCATCAAAGGTGGTGTAGAGCTTGTTTAAGAAGTCCACCACTTGGTAAGGTGTGCTGGTGCTGGACAGCTGAGTAAAGCCAACGATGTCACTGATAAGACACAGCAAAGAGAAGAAATCCTGGTCAGTCATAAATGTGGCATGCTTTTGTGAAACAAAAACAGGATGGTACATCTTGCCTTTTGATAATAATTTCTCAACTGGAAGTTAGGACTTTCCTTTTCTTCCTTTCCTTTGCTTTCTCATTTTATTTGTTTTGAAGTGTTTTTCTTGAGTTTACAGGATCTTACAGACATATTTTCTTCTTTAAGACATTCCCTTAGTAGCAAAGAATGGACTACTCCAAGTTAGCTTCACTGACTAAGGAAGTAGACAGTTTTAATCTACAACTGGATGTAAATTTATTTGAGGATATAGGGTCCTTGATCTTAAGCTATGCCCACAAGGCAAAAATGGACATAACCCCTATCCCTTGCCATGGGCTGCACAGCAAGGTCAATTACTTGCTGGACTATGTCTTATCACTGTACATGTCCAATGCTGAAAGTCAAATAAAGTTTATAAAATGTGTTTTCTCTCTGGTTTTTCTACTAAAATCTTAAGGTTTTTATTTAGTTTTACCTTGAACAGAAATATATACATTTTAACTGCTAGTAGTGATATATTACTGTGTGTTAGCCCTGCAGTTACATTTTCACTTCATAAATTGTAATGGAAAAACTGCAGAATCTGTGCATTTTCAGAGAAAACATGCCATTCCTCCCAGCAGTCACAGCTGTAATATAAATTATATGCTCAGATTGGAGGTTTTACCTCTTACAGTTAACACAGTGGCATCCTGCAGATGAAAATTTACAAAACTACATTAAGGGCTCACTACAACAAAAAGCTTAATGATTTACATCATTTGCTCCTTGTCCTCTTAGACAACATTTTGCTTCTAAATATGATTTGGGCACATATGGCTTTGTTCAGGTAAATTCCATCTCTGACCACATCCATCCCTACTCACCTGAAAAAGATGGTGGCACTTATGTAGCTTTGGGCTTGTGCAGGTTTTCCTTGCCTTAAATTATCTGCTACTTGCTTTGGTAACATACCTATTTTAGAGAGTAAAGAGAAATCATTAACTAATATTGTAACAGAGAAGTACACAAAAATGCTTCACCATAATTTGATTTATTTTTCCTGTTAGATACAGAATGCAAAATAAACATGAATAAATGTACAATGCTTTGATGTTGGGGCAGAAGCCTCAAGGGAAAAAGAACTAGGGAATCTAGATACAAACACTGTGGCTCTTATCCCTCACTAGTGCTTTCTTTACCTCTCCTCTCTTGTTTTCTTTCCTATGAGCTGTCTCTTCCGTGCATTCCCCTTGCAGTTCTCTTCACCCACAACCTCTCCTTTCTCTCTGTGCCTCCTTATTTCCCTCATCTCTAGTCTCTGTCTGTCCTTTCATCTCTTTCCTCTTGTAAAATTCCATAGTGAAAAATCTGTCAGGAAATGACATCACCCTTGTATTAATTCTCCAACATTCTCCAGCATTTTTAGAGCCAAGCAAAATGACATTTTCATAAAACCAAGAAGACCTCAGACCCAGAGGAAGATGAAACATTAGCAATTCAATGGGAAAGGAATGATTTGAGGGGAAAATGAAAACAAATGCTAAATGTCTATCATACTTGCATGGAGGAAATATATTAAAGGAAGACCTATAAAAAACGATGAAGGGGATCAGGCATTAGAACAAGTTACCTAGACAAGTTGTGGAATCTCCAGTTTCCAGTTTTGGAAACTTCAAAAGCAGATTAGACAGACTCTTGGCAGGGATAGTTTAGTTATCCTGCCTTGAGCAGCAGACTAAACTAGCTGACCTTGTGAGGTCTCTTCCAGCCCTACTTGCCTATGAACCTATTATCCTAAAAAGGTAGATTATTTCACTGTTTGTCATTAAGAAAGAAAAAAAAATAAATTTTACTATGCAGAATACTTTTCAGCAACTTACTATGCAACAAACGATCAGTTTTCTGTTTTTCATGCATTAAGTCCTGGGTTCTTTCTGCAACTAAGACTTCCAGGTGTTTGCTGTATTTCTCCATCTAAGCAACACAAACAGAGAATTGGACAATGTAATCCATTCACTGAGTTCCTCATATCTACAAAAACAAACAGCTTTAGCATGTCACTGATTTCAGTTTGAAAGCATGCAGATGGACAAAGGTCAACCTTTCACCCATATTTTTTCTGATGGCTCTATGCATTAACTTCTATCTTTAGACTGCCACTAGTAAGCAATCAGATCACCGCTCAAGGCAGTATTTATCCCAGACATCCAAAGCCTATAGAGGGGTAGTTAGCCATGTTAGTCTGAACTCAAGCAGAAGGCAAGGTAGATTTGCACCTTATAAATCAGGACTGTCCAACTGGCAGCCTGCAATCTGCATGCAGCTTGTGAGGGATTAAATTGTGGGCTCTGGACTTAAAAATGTTCATCCTTATACAAATCTGCAGAAGTTCTGACTGCTGACAGGAACAGAGTTAGAATGGGACTTGGACTTCAACTTAAGCATATCTTCCACTGAAGCTCAAACTGCAGTTAACCTACTAGATGTGAATTACTGGATTTTTTTTTCCTTTTGGCAAACAATGGGTGCAACATCAAAGGGCAAGACAGTCCTCAATGAGTGGCAGGGAAAGCTGGCATCAGTTTCAGGTGTGTGCGCTGACAACTCTTGCTTGAGTTGCCTTTTCATTTGATTAGAAATCTACCGTGCTTACCAGGGTCATCATCATGTCAACAGGGCTAACTTTGTTAGGATTCATCTTGTACAACATCTTCTTGACCTGCTCAAATGTTGGTCTTTGGACTGGGTTGTTTTTCCTGCACCTTCTGATTAGCTGGAGAAATGCCAGGGGGGAGATAAAGCAAATAAGTCATTTGTCAGTCAAGGCAGGGATAAATCTTTCTATCAAGCACTGCTTCTTGGGTTGTCTTTGCTGCCATTTGCAACCATGATACCAGATCTTTCCCTGGTCTATGTTCATACCTATCTCAAATCATACTGACTGATTTATTCTGTCCCTTGTACTTCACTGGCATTAATTAATGAAGTGCTGCTGGTGGGAAACCCCAGAATGCTCTAGTGTTGCTTGTTTTCCTTTGGTTCAATACCTTTAAAATGTGGGGACCCAATTCTTTTACCTTACCACGTTGCACTGCTAGAGTCAAACAAAGTGACCTTTGGGTTTGCTATTCACAGAAATTGCCTGGGGTTAATTCAGCTGTCTTTCAAAATCAATTTAATTAAACCAGAATAAGACCTGGTTTAACTCATTTCTAGACACTCATTTCAATCTAAAAGGAGACCTGTTTAATTTAAGTAGTTGAGGAACTGAACTGAGCTAAGTTGATACAAAGCATTCTTAACCTAAAATCAGACTGGCTGAATACAAACTCCCTTAATTGAACTAACTTGCTTTAAAACCTTTGGTTACACTGCACAGGTTTAAGTGAGAGAATCAGCTCTTTCATCTCATTAAAAAAAATAAAACAGGGATTGTTTGAGAGGCAAACTTCAGCTTATTGACAACTGGCTTTCAAATGCTAATCATAAAGCATCTCTAATATTAAATATGTATATCAAATTCCCACTTTATAATAAAATTAAAAGCCATAGCATTCCATTGACTGAAAATTAAAAACATCATTAGTGCACTGAAACTTTTTGGGACAAACTGAAACTTTCCATTTGTTGGAATAATGGCTGCTCTGTTATGAATATTAAAGCTATCAAGCATTTTATGGTGCCTTGCTTAAGATGTAAAATCTTAACTCTTCATTTCCTGGGTTTCTTACTTGTTTACATTCATCAAAGGTGCTATTGCACTGAAATCACTGTCAAATCCCTACAGCGTTCTATTCACCATAATAACAATGTTTGTGTGCAATAGTATATAGTGTTATTTACCTCCACATAGTCTGTAGGGCATGGGCAGGAATTGTCAGACTTCCCCGAAATTAATTCTGTCAGAGGCGGGCACCAAGAATACTCTGCTGAAAGAGATTCATCCTTCTAGAAGGCAATATTTAATAACATTGAAAGAAGAGAACAAAAAGGGGGATAAAAACTGTAAATAAATCAATCATAATATTGTAAAGCAGTGAATCAATGAAAGAGAGATTTATTGGCACTTTTTTGTACGTTATGTTGAATGTACCCCACTATTGTCCTACGTCTGCAACATATTCTTCCCTATCACTTCCAACATAGAAGCCTTCATATTTTTCTCTGTTGGGATTAGTCCAGATCAATGCTTTCATGTGTAAGCACATAAAAGGCCTGGATGGCTCATTCTAACCCAGATGGCTCTGTCTCCAAGCGCTCACTCAGCTGAAAGGATTTGAGCTCAGCCTGCATTGCAGGTGAACAGCTTTGGAAAAGAATGAAAAAAAAATAGATGGAACCAGATACTCAGAGCCCTTTATGAAACTGGATGGACAGTACTATTAACCACTGGAGAAATACAGTCCTAAATTCAGGTTGCTAGATCTATTTTAAGCAATGCATTCCATAGGACCAGAGCAATGACACATTCTGTCTTTAGGGAAACTGCTATCAATTTTGAAGCATATTCTTTATGCTGGTGCTTTTGCACTAACCATTTACATGGGGGATCAATTTGTAGACAACACCACCCCCATGGATAAGGGCTCAGCAGCTATGCCAGTGCAGTTTCCTGACCCCTAACTTACTCAGTCAAGGTGCTTTGTGGTTCTATGGAAACAGGACAGACCAGGGAAGGTATGGCCAGGTGAGGAACATGCCTGGGAATGGCATACATGGTCATAGCTCTAGCCCCAGAGAGCTTCCCCAGAAGTAATGGATACAAAGACATATAGTCTTTTCCACTGGATTCCTCTTGGAAGTCCTGGGAGCTTCTGGAATTAGGAAGAATCCTTAGTAATACAGCTCCATTGGAGCCAGCTAAAAATCTGGCCCTGAGTAAGCAGTGAGGCTTTTTGGTCCTTGTGAATAAAGTGCAATAAATCTCATCCTATTCCCTCTGGAGTCTATCAGAGTTTTGTTAATAACTTCAAAGGAAGCAGGATTAAAATTACTAGGAAAAACCTCACAAAACAGAAGAACTCTTACCGGCACAGGGTCACTTCTTGTTGCAATCTCTAATAAAATGATGGCATAACTGTAAAATTACAGACAAACATGTGAAACAGAAACAGCAAAGTACATCATTTGAGGAACAGGATGGATTTATGTATATTTTCTTCCCCTTGACTTTTTGTTAAAGAACTTGACCACAACAATTTTCTGATCAGCAACAGATCTGACCTGCTTAAATGGGCAGATTATCTATGCTATCAGTTGAAGAGTATGGATATAGTCCATAGGGGATATATAATGTACTAAATAGCGTCATAATTAATCTAGTGTGGTTTTATACACTGATTGCTTGCAAGGAGGGGAGCCATTTCTGGATCACATGACGACAAGAAAACCAAGGAGATTTTTAAGGAGAACAATTAGATGGTAACTGAAGCAAAACACCAGTGATTCCAGAATGCCCTCCCTGCCTCTGCAGTGCCAGCAGCTATGCTAGTACATGCTGGGAAGAAAAATAAAATTCCTAAGAGGAGCTAAACAATGTCAATTGGACCCAGGTGCTTTGGTGTCTGTATAAATAAAAATACTGAGAAGCAGAACTGAAGGGAACTGTGACTGAGAGCAGGCTTTGCATCTAAAATGCAAGGATTCTTTAATGACCCTACTCCCCATTCCTCACTAAATGCCCATTTCCCCATTCCATTGTCACTAGACGGTCCAAGGATCATCTGTGATGAATCCTGTTTTCATGCGTAGGCATCTTGATCTGCCACTGGGAGAATGGCAGAACAGGAGTAGGCACTCTAAAAGAAGACTGTCATGAGTTCAGATACTACAGTGGTGAGTGACCTCTAGATTTATGTCACCTTAGTCAAGCCAAATTTTCTAAAAGTTAGTATTGATTTGGAGTGCCCTAATTTTTAGTTCCCAAATTCAAGGTACTTGAGGAAAGGACTGAATACCTCTCCTTGAAAGTCAGGGCTTTTTGAGTTATGTCCCACAATTCATGACTCACTTTTAAAAATGGTGAATTCTGGATTTGAGTTCCACCCAAGAGAAATGTCAGGCACACCTAAAACCTACACCATAAGGCAAATCAGGTTTTAGAAAGCCACAGATTATGCCAGCATAGTTACCTTACCTAGGATTTCCAGATCATGTCCAACGTATTTTGGCCAGCATTACCTATGCTCATATGTTGGGATTGCTTAGCATCTGTTTATACAGACAAGCCCCAGTTCTGTTGCAAAGTAGGTGCCAGTCATTAGTAAATTTAGGACAGCCTGTGCAATAATACAGGTGCCATCTCTTTTTCAGGAACTTTCTTGCACTACAACTACATGTTTTGCCTTGCAAGGGGAACAAGAAGAAAGTATGGAAACCAAGGAGACACTACTGGCAAGTGTGATGCTTTTTGATACATGGCAGTGACAAAACAAATGCATAAGAGTGCTGAAAAACAGCCTGGGCAGAGCATCATATGGTTTAGGAGAACTAAAGCTAGATCCATCAAATCCTCTACCATCAGGCCTAGGACAGAAACAGAACAGCATAGCTAGGTTCAACCACAAAAAGTCCAAGCCATTTTGGACCAGCTTCTTCAAGGTATTAAGATGCTTTGACATGAAGATAGGCACCGAGTAGAATTTTCACTAGTATCTGGGAACTAAACTTGCTGGAAAGCCTGAGGTCTACCAGCTGGGTCCCTGCAGGTATAACCCCAAGTTATGTTTTATTCACTGAAAGGTAATAAAATCTAGAAATCTAGTATGTATATATAAAATAACAAGCTTTTCTACCAAACTTGTCATTTTGCTAGGTTTTAAGTGAAAATAGGGGAAAGATTAATCAAAGTTTCCTTATATTAGCAACTAATTTATTTTTAAAAAGACTAAAAACAGTAATTGAAAGGCAATTAGACTTAGTCACAGACAACCTAGCCAAAGGAAAACTAGGCTTTGAGGTAAACATTGGTTTTATAATTTCTTTCTCTATAGAATATTGTACATTTAATTCATACATAGTTTGGTTAGCTTAACAATTATTTTGACCACTCCCAATGTGATTTTGGCTGTTATTATTTTACAAATGTACCAATAGTTAGAAAGCCCTGTCTGCATTTGAACAGATGGAGCCCCAAACAAAATCTCACCTGCATATTGAAGATACTGCAGACCTAAATGCTCCATTAGCTTCAACCACTTATTATTTGTATTTTGTTAGTACCAGGAGGCTCCAACTACAACCAAGGTGCTGGGACAAAATAAGAGAAAATTCCTACCACAAAGATTATATGATAAACAAAGTTGTCCCTAAAGGACATATAGGGTGCGTCTACACATCGCTGTAGGGTGACATTGCTATGGTGCTGTGCTTTAGTACTTCCTTTTGGAAGTACTAAAGCATGACATGGTACAGATGATTACTGTGCTGGGTATGCAGTACATGGTTAGATTTCGCCCCTATGGAGACATAGCTTGCGATAACTTGTAGACCCACATGATTGCTATGTTGCCATGGGGTGACATGTAGACATGCCCCCAGAGGCACAACAAGAGAAAGTGACTTGCCTAAAAGCAAACCGGAAATCTTGGGGAGAGCCAAGAAGTGACACTATATTTTTGGAATCCTAGTCAGGGGCCTTATAATCACAAGACTCTCCTTTTCCTCAATCATCTTAGTAATCTCTGTTGAACAGAAAACATAGCAGAACACAATTTAGCAGAACCTGACAAACAGAACCCACTTGACAGATAAGCAATTACCATGTGCTCAGAAAGAAATAGGAAAGTTTTTCATTTCCTCTATATTATGGTTATTCCTTCTGCATAAAAATATATTCTGAATCAGTTGTGTGACAAACTGGAAATCTGCTCCCTGCGTGCAACTACGCATGTGCCTGAATAAACTTTGGTGCAGTTTACATTGGAGACAGCTGTTTCCCGGGTGCAGTGTCTTCACGGGCACACAGGACCACAGCTATTTGACCTGGGGCGTGTCACAACCCAAAGTTGTGGGTTTTTTTGTTTGTGTGTGTTTTGGCATCGCTAAATCATGTTCCCGCCAAAATTGCAGCTCTTTTGCACGGTGGAGTGTTCTGCTGCAACAGAGGACCCACGTGCAGGAGCTTTTCCCGCCAGTTCTGTAGCTTTCTTTGCATGGTGCATTTCTTTTGCATTATAGTGATGCACAATGCAAAGGAGTTCCTGCCATTTGTATTAAGATTCGAGCCACATTATT